ATGCATTCTGGTGCTAAAACTTTCATACACATTACACATAATGGTCTTTCTTCACCATTCACTTCTGTCGAAGTAAAACCATATTCCAAGTAATTGTCATCATACTTCCGATATTTTCGTTTTTTTACAGTCGGGCTGTTACTGGTTGAGGGTATACTTTCCTCCTCTTCACAACGTTTATGACTGTTCAATAAAAATCGATCCATGATTTAAAAAAAGTCACAAAATTAACAAATTTTCTATATAAAAACGACGAACACGAATACACGATAGAGCAACACACTACGCGAGACTGGCGGTCATACTAATCCGAAAACAAATTTTATCAAACGTCTCATAAAGTCATGACTATGGTCTAAAAATAAATTTAAACTCATTAATGGTGGTGAGGATAATGCGTCAGAACCGATAACGATAAACAGTTTATCAGTTTTGTGAAGTCGGAGAAAAAAAATTATTTTTGTCTACCGATATTATAGTAATCGGTTTTGTCGCATTACCCTCGCCGCCGTTATCGAGTTAAAATTTATTTTTAGACTAGGTAAATTTCTACGGCAACGCGGCGCCCCTAAAAAGACATCGCGGCGCACCAGGGCGCCGCGGCGCACAGTTTGGGAACCGCTGGTGTAGCCTTTATGATTTGTTTCAATATCTCCTAGGGGCTTTGTAAACTCTTTCGACAGGACTCGCATTCTACTCAAAAAGTATTTACAAATAGTAATAATAAAAAAACACATCATTATAAAACATGGTCTCCTCAGATATTAAAATGTACTTATTTGTGTATACAATTTATAACATCAACAAAATATATTCCTTTGACTCGCATTGAATTTGGAACGTGAAGTAACACGTCATTACAATGTGTGAATAAAAAGTCTACTATATTATTATACTACATAAAATAGACACTATAATATATATTATATTTATTTATATTATATAAATTACCTACAATTGAAATAAAAATTGTCATCCAATAGTATGTAAGATATAGGTAATAAATAATAATGTATGAATATTGAATAATAAAAAACACGTACATTAGGCCACTTATGGTAGGCAGTAGGCACTCCCGAAAATTCTCGGAATACAACAAATTAAAACATATGTATATGTTATGTTTTTTCTTATACCTAGTAGATATACCTACATTATATTTTTAAGTTATAATGATATTTTAAACAGTAATTTTACAATATTACATAATTTAACTATTATTTATCTTCAACCGTGTATGATTAAGTTGATAGGTAAAAAATTCGGTATGGGTCATTTGGTATTATGTACATATTTAATTTTCACAAAATAACCTTGTAAAGTTTATTACTTTGTTACTATGAAACCACTGAATAACTATTATTCTGACTTCTGAGGTACATCCGATGTGATAAGCTCCAGCTGATGATTTGGCAGTTATTAATTAATTTTGAATTGACTTAACTTAAAATTGTAAAGGTATTCACATCTAAAAGTTGCATGCTTAGTGTACTACATAGTATACTCTTCTATAATGGCGTTTAATAGAATCGGTGTATATTTTTATACAAATAAAAAATCTAAATAAATTTAATATAATTATACATTTTGTGGACATTTGTATAAAAAAAAACTACTAAAACTATCAAACATTAAATTTAACAAAAGGATATTTTTGGAAAATACGACCACCAATAATAAATTTTATTTTAAAAGTTCAACCTGAAGCTGTTTTTAGTACCTATTGTTCCTTCGTAATAAATTAAAGTAGAAAATACTTTAAATAATTAAATACCTACACATATTATAATGACGTATGCGCCATGCGGTGTACGTATCGGAATTGCAGGATGTACATTTTCAAATCAAAAATATCATTATATAAATCTTATAATATATGTTATTTCATTATAAATAATTGTACAATATTAAATTCTAATTAAAATTCTCTCATAAAGGCACAATGCGCATATATTTCGAATATTTGTTTTATTTTAGATTCCGAGCGGAGCAATAATTTATTGATTTTACAATGTTGTGTGTTTTTATTTGTATGTCCAAAGGCACTTTTTCTCATAGGAAAAATACTCTGATCGTCAACTTTGATGAAGGTTTCTTGTGGCAAATTGGAAAATGAAAATTGAAAATTGAATTAATAATTGTGATAAACAAAAATAATTCGAACATTTGTTAAAATTGTGATATAATATTATTATAATTTATAATAATTGTTTGGTAAACTTGGGTACAAAAAAGTTCGATAGTCTTTTTTTTTTGTAACTTGACACCTTGTATATTGCAGAAAGGTTACCAACTTTTTATACTTTATTTTTGATTAATTAAAAGAAAATAAATTACAATTTAATTTGTTTTTCAATTAAAGTTTAACTATGTATTGTATTTGAATATCTAATTGAAATACACCATCATAACATACCTCTTATAATTAATAAATAATTATGGGTTCTCGTGAATCGTTTGATACTTCTGACCATGCATGGGTATTCCCAGGATTTAACCCCAAGTTAAGTTCCCTGTAATTTACAACCCTAGGACCAAAGTGTTTTACCGTTTTATTGTGGACATTTTTCTACATTTGTGATGTGATATTTTATGTATTTTCAATATGCATTTCTTCATTACTGAAAAATGAGATCATAGGTTAAATATTTCACCAATATTTACGCAGTGTGTGCACCGGGCAAAGCACTTCACGTTAGTCACATTACTTAGAAATAAATATTTAAAACCTTTTCTCAATTCATTAACTTAAAAACCAAATTTAATAGTCGACATGATTCTCCCGAGAATTTCCTAATTTAAAAATGACAGGCTAATGGAATCAACATTGCTCCGCCACTTTAAATTAGCATACTCTCGTGAGACCCCCTGTATATTGTAATTCTTAAAAAAATAAGAAATTTTTGTACAGTATATGCATTTAATGTCTACGCACAAAAGCAATAACTAGGTAATCATACTATTAAGTATCTTTTGTTGGATAATTTTTTAGTAACTTTATACTTATAAAATTGAATGAATAATTATTGTTGTCTGCGATTTCACATAAGATCGTCTAATATTAACAATATCATTATTATATTTATAATATTAGTCTTAAATCTTTCTAATTTCTGTATGTTTTATAAATCAAAATACCAATTAGGCAGGTACTTAAGATAAATTAAACGCTTCAAATATTTTATTGCGTAGATTTTGTACACTTTCATTGCTATGTATAGCATGAGCAATGAATATAAAATATATAACATGTATTGTTATCATGCCATGTTAACATTTACGTCAAGTTGTTATTCATATAAAGAGACATGTCGTGATTGCGTTGAGTGATTAAACTCATTACCTTATTACTACCTACATTTACCTAAATGTGAATAATTTAAACAAATAAAAGTATTTACACACTGATCATTATCAAGCGTTTATTTTCTATAAAGAGCCCAGCCGTTAAGAAATTCAAGTACATACTCAATTTTTAATTTATTGGGTCACACATTTTTGGTTATTATTTAAATTTCTGGTATGTAGATACCTCAATTAGTTAAATAGAAACTGAAATAACAAACTCCAACCATTAAAAATGCGTTGACTTAAATTTTAAATGTTTTTAATATCAAATTCACAACTTAACTACTCGTTAATAATAGTAATATTTGCGTAAATTTAATTAAATTCGATATTATAGTGTACTTGTAACAGTATTACATAAATGCACAAAATAATGATAGTTTATTGTTTCATCAATATATGCGTCCGTGAAAAATGGTATTGGAATCGCAACGAATTTATATTTTATATTTTCCACTTTCCTAATATTGTTTTAGAAAGTTGAAACTGTAGTGTTATTCGGGTACCTACTACCAAAATAGTATAAAATCTAAATAGTATCTGCTGTGTGTTGGGAAATGGTAATACTTATTATGCTTATAATGTATTTCTTACAATAGGTACTAATGCAAAAATAAATTAAAATCCTTTATTACCATCCTTTTTGGGAATTTCCAAGCTACTTATCATTGTTTTTAAACATTTTTATTACCAAGACATTTTGAGCATTCGCCTAACAACAGTAAAAAATTATACGTCCCATAATTCCCGAGCATGTTTGTATAACTTCAACAATATTTCTACGTATTATTATTATTTTTTTTTTTTTGCTTTTAGTTTCCGGCTACTGTCTCGTGTATCCGGAATGAAATCGTTGATACAACCATTATTTATTTAGAATTATTATTAGATAGGTCTTGGGTCTAAGGCCATCTGTTATTACATTATATGGCTCAATTTGTCATGATATTTATTGCATCCGTTTTAATGATCATATTACTTGTAATCGATTTACATTCTATAAAAAAAAATATTTCATTCTATAAACATTATGGGATATATGGGTATTGGGTATTCTGAAGTTTTATACTTTTATCTATGTACAATCTACATAGCCCCGATAATAATTGTATTTCAAATCGATACCAAACTGCAGTTTGCAGTGCAATAAGTATACGTTATTTATTGTTATATTTCGTCTGAACTGAAAAAAAATACTGTTTTATTGTTAGCATATTTTTACGTAGTATGCGTGAAAATGTAAGTACCATATATGTCCATATAAGATGAAATTTAAACCAATGTAGTTAAAAGAAAAAAATAATTTCATTATTGACCTCGGCGATGAATGTACAAATGCATATTATGTGTGCTTCTTATGGCATTTATAAATCAAATAAAGATATAATGACCAATTATTTCAAAATGTAATATTCCACATATATTTAAATATATAAGTATAATGGTGGATAAAAATTTATGTGTTGTAAAAATGTTATTATTATTTATGGTAATAATACTAAGAAGAACACAGAACCTCTTTATCATTATAGAGTAAACGTATATTATGTTATAATATTTGAACATATAATTATGTGTAAATGTTCTCGTGAACGCATAAGCGGAGAAAAAACGTTTTTAATCGCTACATAATATTTTATTATTTGTTTTAGGGTGAACTTGTGTGGTTTGACCCAGGTGTTGGTCATGTCTTACCAGGAGAAGTTTTGGAGTACCACAAGCCTGCGCAAGTACTCACTGTGCAAGCTGTTATTGCGGGGAAAGTAAGTCCTAAGTGAAATATTTGCTTTTGTGATCGTGTTATATAATATTTTTAAACTCAACAGACACAAATTTTCTCACTTACAAGTTCCAACGGTGTTAACCGGCGACAAGATCTTGGTCAAAATGGTATTGAAGACATGATACAACTTACGTAAGCATTTTTTTTTTTTAATAACAAAATAAATAGAATTGAATTCTTATGCGTAAATGTATTTTAGGGACTTGAACGAGGCTTCGTTATTGTGGAATTTGAAAATTCGATACGACAAAGAACTTATATATGTAAGTATCTAAACTCATTATAGCGTACGTGAGCATTGCTCGTTTCTAAAAAAAACCATTTAAAAAACAAATGTCAAAATTGACAGAATCGTTCTGTAAGGACGAATTTATTCAGGAACATATTTTAACTGCAACTTCGTATATTATATTAATTTATCGTTGTTTTTTAGACGTATACTGGAAGCATATTAGTGGCAGTGAACCCTTACAAAATGTACGACATGTATGGGTTAGACATGGTGAAAAAATACGAGGGCCAAATTTTAGGAACATTACCACCGTGAGTGCGCTCATAATCGATGTGAATTATTTCATTAGAAATGATAAATTATTTTATGCTAATGAACAAAAAATATATTAAATCGGTTTTCCTTTCAGTCATTTGTTCGCAGTTGGTTCCGCAGCTTACGGAATGCTTCCTCGAGGAAATCAAGTCGTCGTCATTTCTGGCGAATCTGGTTCTGGTAAAACGGAATCCACTAAGCTTATTATGCAGTATTTAGCAGCTGTTAATAAATCGCCATCCAATCTCATTACTGAACAAATTTTAGAAGCGTCCCCATTACTGGAAAGTTTTGGTAACGCCAAAACTGTGCGTAATGACAATTCATCCCGGTTTGGAAAGTTTTTAGAAGTCCATTTCAAACAGTAAGTAATAGTTTTAAATACACTATATTAGTTATATAATACCAATTATAGCGTTAATTGAAAATGTTAAGTGGAACACGATTACGGATGAACGATATTTTGTTGTGGCTAAAATGACACAAATATGTATACAATTTAATTCAACGTTTTTGAGTTGTTGCATTGGTGGAGGAAAGTCTGTTTGAAATGCCCTTCAATTTAATTTAAAAATCAACAGTTGTAACTAGTATTGGGTTGCTGCTCAATTTTTTCGTACTGAGTATCATTATAGATATTATGCTCATCGATAGACTCTCAAATGTATTATCAGACGTCGTTATAATACTGGCGAGAACTAGAATCGTTTTTATTTGTACCTATATAGTATATACTAACCATTAACTATTATATATAAATATATAATCCATCTTTCCGCTTACGTTTAAATCGATATATCTCTATATTGACAAGAATTAAGTCTTTACCACGTTTTGATGAAATTATTTGTTTTGAATTTTCCATAATAATGTTAAATAAAAATAATAAAAAAAAAAATGTTAATTAATTCCGTTTTCATACACATTTTGATATCAGCTAAGGTGCCTAAATTATGCACTGCATTATGGTACTTGATTAATTTAATATAGTTTATAAGTACTCATAATCATAGCAGTAATATACAATTCAACTCGTATATGTTAATACATTTAGATATGTAGTCATATTATAACAATTTGTCCATTATCGTGGATCATTTAAAATGTTTATCTAAACCTTAAATTGTATAAAAATTAAAACTTTTATTATTTAATGATTTTGTTTAAAAAATAATTTTTATAAAATATTGAAATTTCAGAGGAGTTATATTGGGCGCTAAAGTTACAGAATATCTACTAGAAAAATCTCGAATAGTAACACAAGCTCCAGAAGAACGAAATTATCATGTGTTTTATGAACTATTGGCGGGTCTCGCTGACGAGGAGAAACTTAAATACGGTTTGCTATCGGCTGACAAGTATTTTTATTTAAATCAAGGTGGAAATTGTGAAATTGATGGGAAATATGATGGAGAAGATTTTCAATCACTTATGTCTGCGATGCAAGTTCTTGGATTCACATCGGAAGAACAAGACACAATATTTCGAATACTCGCTTCAGGTAAAATACAATATAAAATAACAAATATTTTCTTTACATTTAAAATGTTATTTTATGTGTGAATTTGGTTTTATTATATGTTAATATTGTGTATTTATAAACATTATAAAAAGATACAGATACATTTATTACATAAAACTTTTAAAAAATATAAGATACAGAAGTTGATTTATCGCTTAGCCCAGTGAAAAAAGTTTTCAAAAATTAACCATTATTTAGTATACCATGTTTTGGGTTTTTTCTGTGATAAATGCTGTTTAAAACATATTGAGCTTTTTATATTGACCCAATAACAGCGATTCTAAAAACATACACATACAAATAGCATGCATCATTGTAAAATCTGCAATAACTTCCTCTTTCTGCTCAGAATCTAAAATGTATTAGACCCGTGTTAAATCATAATAAAATCAATTATATAGGGTTCTCAATATGAAAAAAACAAGTCACGCAGACGTAACACATATTGAATAATGCATATTACTACAAATATTTGTTATACGCACACTCGTATCAAAATTTGCACTTTAATTATGGACGAAATTAATATTTATTTAAATTTTTGTATATAGTTCTACACTTGGGAAATGTTTATTTCCATCGTAAACAGCTAAAACACGGACAAGAAGGCGTTGAAATTGGTTCTGATGCAGAAATCAGATGGACAGGGCATTTGCTCCGATTGGATGTGGATGGTATCAAAGAAGCATTAACGACCAAAACCACAGTTCGTGTTCAATTATTGACGATCAATTTTTACAGATCAATTGTTTTTATTATTTATTTTCTGTTTTACCCAGGAAGCTCGTAATGAACGTGTGTTGACAGCACTAAATATTGATCAAGCATTGGACGCTAGAGATGCATTTGCTAAGGCATTATACAGTTCACTTTTTACGTGGCTCGTGGCAAGGATTAATCACATTGTGTACAAGGGAACTAAAAAGACAACGGCTATATCGATTTTAGATATATTTGGTTTTGAAGATTTCAAGGTAACAATAAACTAATGTATTTTCCGAACAAGATTGACTTATTAAAATGTTGTTTGATCACAGGAAAACAGTTTCGAACAATTGTGTATTAACTACGCCAACGAAAATTTACAAGTGTACTTCAATAAACATATATTCAAACTAGAACAACAGGAGTACGCCAAGGAAAAAATCCAATGGCAAAACATTGCATACAATGTAAATACAATACAATAATAATAAACTTACATACGGTATATTGTTTTTTTGAAATCTTAGGGTTAATCGATTTTCTATTTTCAGGACAATTTGCCAGTGATTCAGTTGTTATCGAAAAAACCTGTCGGCATATTGCATCTTCTAGACGACGAGTCTAATTTCCCACGCGCCACCGATGTATCGTTTTTAGAAAAGTGCCATTACAACCACGCGTTGAACGAATTATACTCTAGGCCCAGATTAAATGGTCCAGAGTTTGGTGTTCGCCATTATGCCGGGCCGGTGTGGTACAACGTCGACGGGTTTCTAGACAAGAATCGCGACACGTTAAGGCCCGATGTCGTGCAATTATTAATATCAAGCTCTTTACCCGTGAGTATTCGTGTTCACTCTACAGTGATAAAATTTGAGATATTTTTATAATGTTCATCCCTCCACGATTGCTTGTAGATGTTGAGTAAAATGTTCAGCTCTTTACGGAATAATTTTGAAGCTTCAAAAACGTTAAACAAGGCCAACGGCAGATTCGTTACCATGAAGCCAAGAACGCCGACTGTCGCGGCCAGGTTTCATGATTCACTACAACAGCTCCTGGAGTCCATATCTGGGTAAGTTTTTTATATGCGTTTCAATTTATGTCCTAAACACTGCCATTTCGTGGTTTAGGTGCCATCCATGGTTCGTGCGTTGCATCAAACCAAACTGTGAGAAGGTATCGATGAAATTCGATATGCCCACGGTATTGGAACAACTTCGATATTCGGGAATGTTGGAAACGATACGGATCCGTAAACTGGGATATCCAGTGCGTATGAAGTTCAGTGAATTCGTAGACAGATATCGCGTTTTGGTACGAAAACGAAAACTTCCGCCGAAAGGCACTCCAAACAGGTATATACTATATTATTATTAAATTATTAGTGAACACAATAAACTGATGATCAGTATAATGATAATATTATTAAAAATAAATTTTCTTGTCCGGAAATAGAGAAATCTGTCAAGCAATATTGGAAAAACACTCGGACGAATATCAGTTGGGCACAAGTCGGGTGTTTCTTCGGGAAAGCCTAGAACGGCACTTAGAACGAGAAAGAGCTGCCATTCTGAACACGGCGGCGATCACACTCCAGCGGAACGTCCGGGGATTCCTTGCCCGGACCAGGTACACTGCAAAAAGGCAGAGCGCTATCAAGTTGCAAGCGTCCGTGCGCGGATGGATACAGAGGAAGAGATACGAGACTTTTAAAAGTGGCGTGATTAAAGCGCAAGCTACTTTCAGAGGTAGACAGCAGCGAAAACGATACAACCAACTGAAGGTATGTACAAATATGATTAGTATACAGTCGGTAAATTATATTAAATGTCGATTGTGTTTAATTTAACAGGAGGAAATGAAACGAAAAGCTAACTTGGCAAAAGAGAGGGTGAGAGCGAAGGCCCAAAAGGAAGAACAAGAAAGAAATGCTAGACCACAAGCAGTACCAAGTCTCAATACGTTAGATATCCCAGCAGAACTCGCGTTAATATTTAATAAAATCGAAGGTAAACAGTTTTCAGACTTGATAAAATCTGATAATTATTTAAATTTATGTTCATTGTTTTATTTACATAGATAATCTGTTCATTTATTGTATACGTATCTGTAACGATCCGTCGAGAGCGGAGGTCACTTACAATATTTGCATTCACTTTGTTATTTATAATCCTCTTATTTTGTTTTTGTGATCTATATAAAATCTCAGTTAGACTTATTTTCCGGAATAATTAAATAGTTAAATATCGACTACATTCACAATAATGGTTTAAAACGTTTATAATTTATGTTTAAACAAGGCTTCTCTAAGTTTTAAATTATCTTCAATCGATATATTATTGGTATTTTCTCGTAATAATTGTTAGTGGATAAAACATACAACAGCTATAATTTACTATTGATGTCCATTTGAATAAATAGGTTCTTTTCACTATTGGCGTTGTACTTATTCATTTGAAAATAAAACGGAATGAAAATATTAGATTTTCGTCAGTGGCGTAACTTTTAATTTTTTATAACGTAGGTATAATAATATTCCTTTAACTTTTATACTTTATTAGAATATTAATTATATAAATGCTTTAAAATATAAATTATCATTTAGATCTGAGTGGTTTTATCTGTCTCTCTCAATACGTGTTACGCTCTTTTTTTTTTATCTTAAATCCATTTTAATTAATTTAGACATACTTTGTAGAGGCTGTGTGCAAAGTTTGGAAGGTAGATTCGGACTGCAATTTATACCACCATACACATACAATGAAATAGTTTCTCTTACACCACCTCCCACATATCCCCTGCATCATGCTATAAAATCATTTTGCGACTAGTTTTATCTTATCTAAAATAAAGGGAGGTGAAATTAATTTCCTTTGGCCTAATCTCAGATAAATCCTTAATGTCTGAATGACTTTTATTCCTTTAAAAATAAAAATATAGGTACTATGCTGATAATTGTTTGTCCTAGTGTAAATAAATACAATTTTCTGATAATACGTTTTATAATAATCGCTTGAAAATGTTGACTAATACTTTCGGGTTATAGAATGGCAGCCATTACACAATAAAAGGCAGTTGGTAAAAGTTGTCGGTCCAATTGTTGAAATTCAAGAACAATATGCTCTACCAAATGATATTGATCAACATGCATTTTCGAAGTTCACAAATATTTATTTCAAAGTAATATACATAATATATAATATCACAATATTATTGTCATATAATATGTTTGCAAAGAACAGTATTTATAATATATTAATTCTTGTTTCAGTCACATGTTTGGGGAATGAAAAAAGAACCCATAAAAACTCCATTCCTCCACAAAAGTAAAGATTCCGATTACATGGATTCGATTGCGATTTTCAAATTAATACTAAGATTCATGAACGATGTGTCATTATCTCCCAAAAGAGAACAGGCGCTTGCAGACTACATCATTCACAAAGTACATTATTTTTGTTTATTTAATACCTAACGATTTATGTTATTATATTATTAAAGATGATAATATTTAAAAACTTACATGATTAACCAGTTGGTTATTGATGTAAAAACATTATAACCTATTTGTTCCGTAACATTGTAATCGACCGGACATTAATTTCCTAAATATGCACCATTATTTACTGTACATTTTACAACCAATTATGATGTTATTGCTACATCGACTGATTAACAGCGTTAATAGCTGTTTATTAAATAAGAACCTATCGTTGTAGCCTTGTAGGTATTAGTAATATACTAATATATTATAGTTTTAGATATTAAATGTGCATAGAATTTAACCCATAATAGCGGCTTTTAAGTTATATTTATTACCTACCTATAAATGGAGTATTGTTTAATGTCAAATAAAAAACCATAAAAAACGGAAATCTGAATAATAATAATAAAAAAAAAAAAAATGAAATGCAAAGCTACGGAATCACGTAATAACTGGTAAGAATGTTATCATTATTCATAAAAAAAATATTGTGTACATTTTTGAAATTGACTGATGATTACGTCACTGTTCGTATTTACCACCCATTTACCTGTAGTATAAAATATCGTTTTTATCAGTAGGTACCAGGCTATAACTTTATTGTTATTATTATTAGATGTTGGTCCATTTCAGAACTTAGCTATTTTTATCTTGAGGATTATTATTGAAGACTAGATAATATCTCATGGCACATACCCGTGTAGTGCTGCTTAGATTCTTAGTCCTCAAGTGTAAGTCACCCATAGACTAAGAAGAGACAACTATTTAACGGAGTACCTGCCGTGTACACGTTGGTCTGATTTTTTTGATATCATCGTTAATCGTTATCATTAACCAATAACACTGTTAATCATAGATGCTTACTATATTTGTCTCAATATACATGGCATGTATATTACATTGTAGTTTTCATCTAATTACTTAAATGATTATACAGTAGTCGCCGCTTATTGGACTCACTTTGGGACCCGACAATTTGAGTCGATTAACCGAATGAGTCAATAAGGCGAAGGACTCAACAAAATTTTAAAAACTTAAAAATATGTATTGAGATTCAATGTATGTATGTATAAAAATAAAAATCTATCTATATGCAATTAAAAATAAAATAAAATAGTCTTTGATAAAAAATTAAAAATATGTATTGAGATTCAAATGATGTATGTATAAAAATAAAAATCTAGCTATACGCAATTAAAAAAATGACCCTATTAACCGGTGTGTGTGTCGAATAGACGAATTTTTTGCTGTGTGTTAGTATATGTGCGAATCGGGACCAGCCGTTTTGAGTCTAATAGGCGAATGAGTCAATTAACCGTGAGTCCAATAAGCGGCGACCACTGTATTTATATATGTTGAGTAATTTATAGTCAATATCCGAATTCTCTTTTAGGGGTTGGCCAACGAACGGCTGAGGGATGAAATTCTGTGTCAATTGGTGAACCAAACATGGCGCAACGACGTCGAAGCAAATAACGAAAGATGCTGGCTGCTGATGGCCAGCTGTCTGTCGGCGTTCCCTCCAACCGGACCGCTGTACAAATACTTGTTGAAGTAAATTAAAAACACGCTATACAAATAATAATAATAAAAGTACTGTTACGAAATCGTAGTCCGTCGTACGGCAATCGTTCAAAACGCGTCCTAAAGTCAATTCATTATATCTATGTACATCGTTGCAATTGGTTGGAAAGGTTTTTTTGTAAGAAAACATTTTTTCCCCATTTCTCTACAGGTACGTTTCCGATCACGGTTACGACGGCTACAAAAGCGTGTGCCAGAGAAAGCTGCTGTCAGGGCACACTTGCACGCCGCCTGCCCGGTCTTCGGCTCCATGTCTACTGGAGTGGCGAGCTAACCGGAAGCGTTTCAACACGGCGCTGGAATTCGCGATGCCCGACGGCGAGACGATGACCGCCGGCGTCGAATCATGGACGCGGTGTCATTCGGTTGCATCCGCGCTGCTGGCCGAGAGGGGCATCGCCGAGTGCAGCGGATGGACTGTGGCGCTGGACAACGACCAGAGAAACGGGTTCGATTACGTGTTTGACTCCATATCCGAAGTGGAAACGCCGCCTGGATATCCGGTCGGCAGACAGCCTCCCCACTCACCGCAACCGTCGTCGCCGATGACGCCCGTTTCGAAGGTATCGTGTACAATTACTGCGTGTTTCTTACCTTCCGTTTAAATGCGCGCACGTGTTATCTATTATACATCTGATTATTTTTTACCTTTAAAACAACAGCTTTCAAATAAACGTTCTGTTTCGTTTAAATACCTATTAACATCGGCTACTCATAAGTATCTTTTTTTCCATCGGGTCCTCTTCGATCCCATCTTCCTCCGTGCATCATACCTCGCACACAATATTTATTTTATGTTGAACCGTTAAAAATCAATAATGTGCAATATACGCGTACGCACTAATTTCCGTTCGAGTTCTAAAAACGTGTTTTCTATGCCAACAGGTGGAACCCGTGTCCGTGAACCGTAGACCGACCGTGCCGCCACCCCAACCACCAGTGGTGAAACCGGTAAGTCAAAAAGTTTGATTTACGACGTTTTATCGTAGATTACCCTGATGTGACGTAAAAATGGTTTAATATTGCTCAATGTTATAACATTATATTATTTGGTAATACCGTTTACTAAGACGTATTATTTCAGCTTTTATAAGACAAGAAACTATGTTATTCAATTCGTTCTAAACTCGCGGAATAAATAAATTGTCTTCGGTTAATTACGTTCGTCCTAGAAACAAATTCGTAAATTGTAAAATATTTTCTGTTTTAGTTTTTCGTTGGCCCATCTGTACATTATATGTAATATGTATATACGTATTATATGAATAGATGAATGAATAATGATATTCTAAAGAAACGTCCAATAGCGTACTTGTATATCATTATATAATGAGTTTAATTCTTAAATTTTGGTATCTCAAGGCGTTGTGTGTATGGCTTAGATACGTTTTATTCATATATGATATAGATAGGCGTTGAATTAATGACAGATTTACTAATGCTTATAGTTATATAATAGTTTAAAGGCGTGATACACGTGTTTTACTCGTCGTCGTGGGCTATTATATATCTAAAAATACATCTTGTTAGGCCATCTGTAACTTTGGTTTAATTCTTATTTCAAATATTTAGCAAAAAGTAAGATCAGTATCTCGAGATCACAGCGCAGAAAACGGTCTTTCACGGCAGTCTGCTTTAAATGACAGATACTTTGAGAAGACTAGTCGATCCAGAAGTCTCGACAATTTAATAACACCGGTGAGTAATGAAGCCGATCATCATACCTATGTAAGACGTAAACGTAACATTGCTGTATATTTACTACAGGTACCGCAAACCGCAATTGCTCCGAAAAAACTAGACTCATTGGGCCTATCGCATAGCAAGCTGAACGAGCGATACATGTCAATGGAGCGTATACAAGAAACCGAAAAAGACACAGACAGTGAGGATGAAAACGATGACGACGACGACGGGGACGATGATGACGACGATGATGATGACGACATTGCCAAGTCTGTCGATGACGATAATTTAGAGTCTGTCAGCCAAAGGGGTGAAACGAGAAACTATAACGGGTATTTCTATTGTTTATAATAATATTATGCCTTACTACTGTAATTATTGTTTAATTAATAAAACAATTATTGACGTTTATCGAAGCGTTTATGAAAATGAATCACTATTTTTTGTGAAAACTTTACAGTGCATCATCAGACGTGATGTCCCATAGTCAAATAGATTTTGACTATCCAGATATAAATGCTAGAAGCGAAGACGACAAAGGCTCATACATGAAGGGCCATCCCAGGTAAATAAAAAATACATCTCATTACTCATAGTAGTGTGATATGTTATATTTATAATCAAGGCAATGATTATTAAATAGCAAACGAGCTTGGATTGGATTACACAATATAAACTTAATATTTCCGAGTGTTATTAACAAAATAAAAAAATAACTGTTATTTTTCACAGATTCATCAAATCACAGTATGCGGGCAAACGTGGTTCGCATTCTATTAAATCGCAAATGGATAACAAACATTCTGACAAGTCTGAGGCGAGAAGTTGTGCCATGTCTGATACGAGCGAAGCCCCGTCTTTGGGTAACTATAAAAAATATTATTATTAAGTTGTATAATATTACAGTCATTATAGTCAGTTCACCTGACAATGTAATGTGAATACAAAAATAATTATTATAGCGTGATTTGATAGCAAGATTTCAATAAAAAAAAACAAAACAATTCTTACGAATCAAAATAAAACAAATTAATTCAACAAAGAGAAAAAAAATTAAGCATCTAATTGACAATTGTTTTTGCGAATCTTAAGTTTTCTTAAACAAACGAATCCAGTTATATTAGAAATGTATTCAACTTTTTGGCTAACAATATTCCCACAGTCATGTGAATGGTAAACAGACAGTGCTTGCGGGTATTTTGACCTTGCGTTATACATACGTGTGTATGTAAATGTAGTACATAGTAGTATTATTATTTATACAGTTGCATTAAATAAGTGTTATTTCTAAAGACGCTCCACAGCGTAGATCCAAGGCGATTTTTTTTGAATTAAAACGACACACTAATTTACAGCCTTCCACTTTGTTTTTCCCTTCTTGCCACAACTATAATAATATTATATTATTAATGAATTATGTCGATTACTGTTTCGGATCAGCTTCGCACGTCAGACGGGTACGCGTGCCGTCGCAGGCGTCGGACGTGGATCAATTCCTCGACGATTTGTTCAATCCAGTTCTGGACCATATGTCTGACGCCAGATCGCTAGCCGCGTCCATCAAAGGTTCATCGAAGAGCAAGTCCGTGGAAGACTGCGAGTCTTTGGACTCTCGGGACTTTGTCAAGAGGATAAAGGGCGGTGGAGGACGGTCGACAGGAACTAGCCGGGCGTCGAGGTCCAATGAGAGTCCGTCACAAGACGGGGAATTCGATCCGTCGTCGTTGGACATTTCGATGTTCGCCAGAACCGTGAAGGGTGGCGGTCGGGGCGTCGCTTCCCAGCAACAGGTATTGATATACGATATATCGTAATGTATTAACAACGGAGAAGAATAACGGGGTGGGCGTTTCGCACCCTATTTCGCGTACGGTTGACACGGAATGATGACAGTGTTTCCTTAGCCGTAATCTGTGGCGGGCGCAGTTGCCACCTTGACATTTTATAGCGGGGGAAATATATACCTTTTGTTTTTCCCCATTGTATTAAGCTTCGATTCATTGAATATTACAACACATTCCTTTTTTTGTTTTTAATCATTATGCTCGAACTTGAATTTATCTGAGTTCGCTTTATATAATTATTAATAACTATTAATTTGTCACTAAAATAGTTTATATTGTATAGATGTATTATCGGTAAATTATTTGAGGAGTAGAAGGGTGTTACCTGTCCCCTCACTATATTTTTAGACACAATAAGTAAAAGATATGTATTATATTACCTCCCCCTAAAAAGAGAAATAAAATTACTCTCGAGGTCTGCCACTGGGTGTTTTCCACCCTGTACTAGCATGTATTGTTGTATTCAATTGTATCGTTATGAGTGTGTCTTAATTGAAAACTGCATGCAATATTTCTTTTACAAATATTTATCGTGTACGTTTATGTTTCCGCAGAATGGTTCCGGACAGCCCGGAAACGCTTCTTTCGGCATGTCGCCACTGATCGGCTCTCCACCGGTGTTGCCCACCATCCTTTCGCAGCCATCGTTACTCATGCCCCCCATGAACTCACAGAACATGTTCAACACTCCGAACGGCGGTAAGTCTGACGCATTGTTTAGGTTCGGTTTTTTTTTTCTAAATGTTAACAACGACAGCGCGATATACGCAAAACGATACCATTATTATTATTATTATCATTAACGCGGTCGCACAAGACGAAAACAATGGCCTGAGAGAGTTCACATACAGACGACGGACGCCTCGATGCGTGCGCTCTAAATAAATTTCTCCTGCAGCTCCGTTTCCTGCTGGCCACGCACCGTCGACGTCATTCGACGGATCGGCGCGCAACGCCGTCAACGCGTCGCGTACACAATAATGATAAACAATAATAACACAATCACTTAATAATAACATATTATCGAGTCCCGTACGTTACGGTGATAATAATAATAATAATAATTGTATTATTTTGCGATTTTTTTCACGTTCGCAACGATTGTTGCCGAATTTTTTTTTTACGTTTCGTTTTTACGCCCATTGTTTTATAATAATAATAATAACGATAATATGGGATTTGATTTTACCGTCGCAGGTCTCGGAGTACCGGCAAACACCTCCAACAACACCAGCAACGGGTCGTCGGGTGACAGCATGCTCGCGTACCAGACGAACCTGCACCAGGCGTTCTTGCAATCCGCCATGGCGCAAAACATCCAAATCCAACAGCAAATACTCGCGCAGAACCAGGCCCTCCACCAGTTGCTCCAACAGCAACAGCTTTTGCCACCGGTATGTGCTTCGTTCGAGAACTTAATCGGATGTTACTCGTGTGATTCGGAAGTGAAGTGTTACATTAGACTACCCACCCGACGATCGTCATTTTTACGACATTTTTTATCTTCATAATCTACCCGTGATACGCTTATACTATGTAATATTAAGACTTTAATGACGGAGTGGCAAATATCTTAAAATGTCAACCTTATACATTCACTGTTTGAAAGTATGGGATAGTCAAAATGTTATTTACAGGATGATAAAAACGCTATAATAACACAAATAGTATACCTACTGTTATCAGTGTTATTATCTATTATGCATTATGAATTTAAACATAAAATAAAATTTATTAATGATAAAACAGTTATAAATCGGGGGAAAACATTAATTCAATCATCTGTAGTGGTTTTAAATATACATAATATATTATTAATTATAAAAGCGTATATTAAAAAATATTCCATAGTAGGTACCAAATAAAACGTTATTAATAATATTTTAAAACAATAATTTAGTTTGTTGTTGTTCCGGGTTTTTAGCTTCAACTGAACAAGACTGGAAGTAATAAACATTGGAAATTTGCATACCAATAGTACTATGTTTTTATTTATTTATTTTATTGTCTTGAATGAATGGTTGTAATAATATTTAATTACACAATCAACGCATTGCCAGTAAACATAATTGTAACAATTCCCCTAATTATTTATTAAAATATTATGATTAAATACTTACGAAAAATATTAATTTTAATGAAATTGTAATGTAGGTCGGTCCTGAAAATACATCAGGAGTTTGGAACAATTCACCTCCTAAACATAAGTCTACGCCCACTAATAAATCTCAAGTGAGTACTCAAATATAGTCTATTACAGTATTACTTACCAATGTTATATATTGATCATGATATAATTTTTTACTAACGCATTTTAGGGACTCCGCTCAGGATCGCCACATTCAACGTTTACAAATGTTTTGAGTGAGTTAAAGAGCAGAAAATCATCCATGGACTCTAACGTTGGAAAGGTAATAACATTTATACCTAACAGCGTGTTAGGCTAACACATTGTTGTTTTCATTGATGTTTGAATATTATATAATATTATTATATTATGTGACTATAATTTCTATACATTTGAATCGTATAGAGTTCTGTACCTCCGCCGCCTCCCATGCCACCGCCACCAGACTTATGCGATCCTAGCGAGGTAAGGCCGTTCATGGATCCGTATGGCCGAGCGAAAACAGTGCGCATTGGTAAATGGAGATGGCCACCACCAAGCGATGGCACTAGCAATGGAGTGCCTGGTGACATGAACGGTTTTCCGTCACACCAAAGTTTTTTGCAATTTAAAATGTCCAAACAACAACAAATCCAAAGACACAAGCAATCACAAGTGAGCTTAAATCATAATGTCTGGATGAATTTAATCTTGAAACAATGGTATTACGTACCTATTACAATCTTTAGACAAGTTTCCTTAATTTACATAGTTCAAAATACATTCGATGCATAAACGTTAAATATATTATTATACTATAATATAATACCAATAATAATTCACCTCGGTTACTCGAAAGTAGAATCTAAATATTATAATAACATGTTATATCACATTATGTATTTAGGATTCGAGTCAAGACGGAGAACTGAACGGAGTCGAATGGGAGGAGTACGAGATACAACAGTCCGAAGCAATGAAACAACCGTCACCTAAAGAGCAAACAGAAGTCCACAAATCATCGTATAAATCATTGGAAGTTGGTGCCTTGAGACCTAGTCCGGGCAGCGTGGGCAAACTAAGGATCAGCAATGAAATGAAGCACAAATTGGAAATGGTCACAGCAAACCACAGTCTGCGATCGACGACCAGCAAACCCAGACCGCAAGCCATGAATAACATGCCGACGCCTTTACCAACAACCGGAAAACTAGACACCGATAGACGACTATTGTTGCAGCAACAACTAGGTAAGAAAACTATTATTGAAATATTTAAATTATCCATTCATCCGTGATCAGTGTCGTCCTTAGGGGAATGGGGAAACTCACAGAATCTAGGCCTTGAATTCAAAAAAATAAAATTAGATAAATTGGTTTCAAAAATTATATTATTTCAAGTGTTCAAAACGTTATGTTTCAAAGACACATACGCAATCGAATTAATTTCTTAGAGTTAAAGTAGCTATAAACATTGTATTAAATAGTAAGTAAAGAACTGTCGTGGTTAAGCATAATATAATTATGGGGTAAATATGATAGGAAAATGCCAAGGGGTACAGTAAACACTAAACCCCAGAGATTTGTTTGTTTCATGCACTGCTCATAGCCTTAATTTGTTTTTTGAAAGTATGGTATTGTCCACACCGTTGTCTATGACTGAAAATGAAAATCAATCAAAATTTGCTTCTTCCGAAATATGTTTAGTTATTTTCAAGTTCAAACGAACTAATTAATATGAACAGTAATAAAGTGGTATTTTAAAGACACATTTATTGGAAATAGAGATTTATGTTAAGCTTTACAACCTAGGACGGTCCTGATCGTAGTAGTATAGTTAGGTAAAAAAATATACATGGGTATGTTTAAAATGTATGAAACTAAATATAACTTGCAAATAGAATTGTTTTTTGTTCTTTTATGTAACCACAATATTATTTTTAGCCGGGAGATGGGGTAGCGTGGACAGTGTCGATTCTCAGAGCGTGGTAAAAGAGGACGCATCTGACGTGCAGCCGAACCACATGATACGCAATCAAGTGGAACGTATCGAGAGCTCCGGATGGCGGTTGCCACCACCGCCAATCACTCCATCTAGATCCAACAGCTTTTACAATCAAAACATGTGAGTCGAGATCGATAGTTATAGTAATATGGTCGTTATGATAAATTATTATCACATTTTGATCGTTCGTTAAAGCGAACACCTATTGTAATATAATATGGATGTAATTTTATCACTTCAAAATCCTTTTCGTTAGGAAAAAGAACAGCATCAGTCCTCCGGCTCCCATACAGCCCGTGACTCGCGAATATGACCAGAACAATATGTTCCGAAATGCGGTACCAAACAACTACACCGCTGAACCACAGCACGAGGTCGAAAAAGTCCCAGAGTTCAACGGTCGTCCCGAAGCTAGAATACAGTCGCCGACTCAAAACGAAGACGGACAGTCCACGAAGCTGCTGCAAACGCCGGCCAACTCCTATTTCACGTATAACCGTGTGCCGTGGAAGTTAAACATCCGGAAGGAAGTAAGTAACACCGCCCACCATGTGAGCCATGAGTTACGGACTCCGTCTAAGTGATACCTACGTGTGTAATTATATTATACTAACGATATTGTTTTCTGTTGTTTTCGTCAGGTTTTTACTCCCAAAGAATCGATGTCCAGTCCGTTGGTGCTGCATTTGATATTCTGTCAAATAGTAGGCGATATGTTTAACAAATTCCATTCGGTCCACGCCAGAATATCCGCCGACGAACGCGAAGAGATGTTAGACGTACGTATATATGTATAAAAATAAATTCCTCTATATTTAAAACAGATCAAAAATATTATTGTCAATCTTTAAAAAGAAAATAATACGACCACATAAAACTGTCTTCATGTCGTTATCGTTATTTATTTATTTATAACCGAATAACACGAAAATGTTTTAGTTATTGGATCGTTTTGGAGTAACGGCTAGCAACATGCAAACAGGTCACCACAAAGCCAGCACCAAACGTTCTATCGTCGAGCTGGCTCGTCAGTGGCCATTGTATTTTTCACGCATATTTCCAGTCTCGGTATGTTTAATATTGTGTGTTATATAAATTATCATAACTCATGATCAGTGAACGGTGGAGTGATATTAAAGGTCTTGCTTGTAATAATGTTATTGCAGTGTGGTTACCAGCACAGAGATGTCGAATATTTAGCCATTGCTCACGCGGGTCTTCATTTATTGCGCAAAGAAGAAAACCAATTTCAAATCATGCAAACACTGACGTAAGTGAGAAATCTAGTCGTGTTTAATATTTAAACAATTTCAGTTTCTATCAATTGTATATTATGTAATAGAATATACTAATAATTAATATAATTAAAACGTCGGATGTTGGGTTTTATCAGGTTTGAAGACATTGCCGATGTCTCGATGGGCAAAGCTGGAGGCTCTGTACAGCTCACTATAATGTCAGGTGAAACAATACCGTTCCATTCAAATAGATCCAGGCAAATACACTCAATGATGAGCTCATTCTGGAAGGACGCGGCACCACTTGGTCGACTTCCCCGTCAAGTGGTAAGCGAGTTGAATATTTTTAATTCATTTGTTCACAAGCTCAAAACTATGAGGCATACACGATAAACATCGATTTTAACGATATTTCCATATCAAGAAAAATTATGTGTATTACTTTTTCTTCTCATATTTATTATTTTGTTTTTATTTCTATAAATTAAATAATATACATTTTAATTATTTTAGGATGAAAAGATCCGTACTGCTGAACACAAGGGTAAATAAATAAAACTGTACTTCATTGTAGTCACTTGTAATAAGCTATATAAAATATTTTATAAACTTATATGGTATAGGTTACAATTGTTACATTACATAAATATTTTTATTATTATTTTTAGGGTGGCAACAAACAAACACGAAGTATTCCAAACCAACTTCGCCGTATAAACAACATGAATCACCACCACCTATTCACTTTGTACGAACAAATTATCCATGTTTATGAAAAAAATTAAAATATTCTGATAATTTTCAGTCATGTTCGCATTAAAATATTTTTATATATTTGTCTACAGGCTGCAGATGACGGTAAACATTCGTTACTTCAATTCGCAATGTATAATTTCAGACATAGTTCCGAGAAGTAATTCAAATTATTTATCAAATATTATTTTACAAAAATATACTCAAATGTTTTTCGTTTGATGTGTGCCTTTAGGTTTGACATGCTGAAATCTGCGAATGGTGAAATAAACGGTTCGTTGAAAGTCATACAAAACTCCAAAAAGAAGAGTGACGATTGGACGTGGAAAGAACAACTGGAGATGGTAAAATACACAAACGTTCCGATACCAGAATCGCTGTTAAAGTTAGACCCAGAGTTAGACGCACTGGCCATCGAATGTTTCGAGTGCGTTATGAGGTACATGGGCGATTTGCCTACAACGCCTGAGTTTACAGAAGTCAAATGCGTTTACACCATTCTCATGGTAATATTTTGGATACCGTAGAGTATAATATAGAGTTCATTATAAATAATACAACCTTTTTCGCTTGTGTGTGTTTAGCATTGCCATAAATTCGAAAGCTTGAGAGACGAAGTCTACTGTCAGCTAATGAAGCAAACGACCAACAACAAAACGGAGACGTGCCAACGGGGATGGCGTTTGCTCAGCATCGTTGCGGCGTATTTCACGTGCTCCGAAAACTTGAGACCTTTCTTACTCAAGTATTTGGAAACGGCTGCTTACGACAAGAGGAGAGCTTTCCATGGTAATAAGTAATAACTATAATAACGTATTATATATTGTCGTGTTAACGCGATGATGTATAACAATCGTCTAACCATCCGGTTCATGACAGACTACAAATAGAAAAATAAATTGTATTTAATTAAAAGTTAAAGTTTGACATTTCCTGATCACCAATACATTTTTCAGGCAGCCGAATTCATTTGTTATATTTTATCTAAGCTTTAAACGGCTGTCAGCACTTTGGAGGAAATATCTGATAGGGCTAATGAAGATTTTTTTTTGTTTTAAATAGTTCCAAGTATTTGAATTTATTTAGAAATTGTCATATAACATTTACAAATTAGATATAAAACTTTAAACAACTCATCATTATTTAATTATAACAATTAAATTAAATTAAACTAATTTTAAATCCTAACTCATTTACAGCCAACGATATGTTTAACTATACATCATATTATTATGTCGAGCCAGTTGTGCGTGATATTAAACGTGGTTTTTTTTAACCAGGTACCGCGAACGTATGCCTGCAGAACTTAAGGAAGACGTTGAGATACGGTGGCCGGAAAAACGTGCCCAGTGTTGAGGAGGTGACTGCCGTGTCGGCCGGTCGTAATTCCAAGAGACAGATGTACCGGTTACCGGGTGGCAGCGAGACCGTGGTCAACACGAAGTCCACAACCGTGGTAGCCGACGTCATCGCCGGCATGTGTTCCCTGATCAACGTCAACGACCCCTTGGAAATGGAGGAATTCTCGTTGTACTGTATCGTCGAGGGCGATGCGTTCACGATGCCATTGGCCGCGGACGAGTACATACTGGATGTGACTACTGAGCTTCACAAAAACCAACAGGTAATTACCACGTGGGCCTCGGTCTAAAGTTGAATAATATCCATTCGTTATTGTTTTTGTCGTTGTCGTTCAGGTGTTTTACTTGATATTCTGCCGGTCCGTTTGGTATTTCCCGCTGCGACTGGACAGTCAACTGTACGTCCAGGTTCTGTTCAACCAAATCGCACCAGACTACTTGGAAGGCCTACTTTTGGTTTTGCCCTTTGGTCAGTTACCACAAGATTTATTGGTGAGTCGGCGTTATAATTAATATATTTAATAATATGAATTAGGTGGTTAGTTTGTTTCTCCAAATTCGAATAACGTGGAATTTTGCTTTTCTCAACCAGTACGAAGTGTGCAGAATAGCTGCTCTGCTACATCGAGCAGCTGACATGGTTCAGCCACCGACGTTAAAGGAAACGAAATTCCTTTTGCCCAAACCAGCACTCATGCAAAATGAAGTGAATCCTCAGCAGCTGGTGCAAATGGTTCAAAACAATTGGCCTCAAATAGAAACATTACACAGCGTGGAAGCTAAAGCTCAATTTTTAGGTAAGTAATCATTAGTTATCGAATTCATAAAAAGCGGTCTTGAAATCGCAGATTTTCCACCCTAAATTAAAATGTATTATACTGTCTTGTTAATAGTTTGAATTGCAATGCGAAATGCGTAGCAGCACACGCTTGAATAATACTATATTCTTGACTTTTACCCTATTATATTATATTCATATATAAATTATAGGTACTTAATATCAAATTGTTTGATTATTATACATTTTCATATTTTTGAACTTTTAAGAATATTCACCAAATTGTATAAAACAAAATGATGTAACTATATTTTAATGACATCGATAAATATTTAAAACCCAAAAATAATGTAATATACATTATAGTAAATTAAAATATTTAGTGATGATTTGATTTACATTTATAATATTTTGATTTTCCTTTGATCAAAAGTATATGTGACACAGCGTATATTATCAAATTAATACACATTTCCCTCCAAATTTAGAATAGTTTATTTAAAATAAATGTATACTTAATAATATTCTAACTAACATATTTACATACTATGTTAATATTCTGATAAGAATAAATGCATAGGTAATTTGAAATATTATATGTGTTACACTTTTAATAAATATGTGGTTTTTTGTATTTTAGTTAGTTCATTTATTCGTTTTCTGTAATAAACCACGTAAACAATAAAATATTTAGTGAGATTACTTTAGGTTTCGGGTATGCAGTACTGTAGGTACTTACTAATGTTTATTGGTAGATGAAATTAATAGCCACGCCATTGCTAATTTCTGACCTACTCGGTGTATTTTATTGTGATTACACGACACTCAACTGTGTTTTTATTATTCCAAGACAGCAGAAACTAACACGGCAAACTCATTATTCTTATGCAAACCCCATATCGTATTATACCTATAATACTGCACTTTTAATGTCTTGTTTTGAATTTTTTGAAGCTGTGTCAATGTGTCTCTGTCTCGGTCTTGAGCACATTTTTAGTCAGTCAATAAACGATTATGGTCTATTGTCCTGTGTGGCAGACTTTTTGGGGAGGTAAATTTTTTTTTTTTCACTCTTTCATTATTAGCTCGCATCCCTTTCTTGGCGTTACCTATACGCTATAGGCAAAATATACGGATGTTAAAGGGTAGACATAGATATTCAAATGTTTACAACTTTAAAACAAAATATCGAAAAATATTTTATTTTTACGTCTCAGCATTCATTAAAGCTACATTATTGAATGAAATATACGGTGTACTGGGTAGAAAATCGATAATGTAGTGCTTTTGAATGTATATAATATTAATAATATTACTTGCCTTGTTTGCGGATATTTCTATTAGATATTCCATCACTGTTGTCGTGGAAAATCAGTCGAAAAAAAGATTATATTTCTACTTAATATGTTTGGTTAATTTATAAACCAACGTTGAACATTTTTATTGCTATGTTAATATTGGTGGCATAGCCGCTTAGGTTTCATCTTGATTTTATATTTGTATTCGTTATAAAAAAAACTTGTACCTACTACAACTAAAATTATTAATATCAGAAAAATATAACTTAGGATACAAATAAATCTGCTGAATTTAAGTTTTCGTCACACACGAGGCATATATTACTGTAGGACTAGGATTTATATATAATAAATAGTATAAGATATAGAAATAATTTTGTAAACATTTTGTAAAAACATAATATGTACACAGTTAAATTATAACTTTTAAACGTCAAACACAATGATTTATTATAAATAAAAATATTATAAAGTATTATTTTAAAAGCAACCAACGTTATTCAAATGTAATATACAATGAAATAACAAGGTACACCTATTTTCAGTTTTGAAAATTACCCATGGATACGATTCTTAATGTATTATTGTATTTGTTAAAGCTCCATTCAACATCGTAGGATTTTATTACGAGTACTTAAATGTTGTACATTCTCCGGGAGATAAACCGTAATGACAATTTTTAAACACTGTACTTATATATATTTGGTTAGACTGTAATGTGTTATTGTCTCAGCTGACGCGTCACCACAGTTAAAAGTTTTAAAACATACCATAAAATGTGAATTGTTCACTTATACAGTTGAAATATAAAATAATATTCATTATGTATACTATTCGAGGTACGCAAAAATATGCAAAGTGAAAAATATAACACTCATTTCAACGTGATGCGATTTATTGACATAACTTACCAAAATGCATATTATATTTTATATGCTGGAAAACCCTACTTATAAGTTATAACTTTGACGTTCTCAATACCCTTAAAGTACCCTTAAACAAAAAAAGTTTTCAACATATAACTGCGTGGCTTTGAGAGTAGCTATTCAACTAAATTGTCTGAATTATAAATACTTTTATATTGCGTAATGATAATATTTTATTGTGTAAATTGTTGACAGAAATATTAAGCAAATGGCCGCTGTTCGGGTCCAGCTTCTTTGCGGTCAAACGCAGCGGAGATCAACAGATATTGGCTCTGAACAGAACCGGTGTCCATTTCCTTCACATTGTTACCCATGTGAGTTCTTTTTTCAAGAATTGAATAAATGGATATAATCTTTTATACCCTTTTATTATAGCTTTAATACCTACAAAATATGTAATAATTCTACTACGTTTACGTGTTTTTAGAAAACCTTATCGACAGTGCCATTTAGTGAAGTGATATCGACTAGAAAAGTGAGAGCTGGCGAAGGTGCCACTCTCTACTTAGAGCTCAAGTGTGGCAACCTGTTCCAGCAACGTGTGGCTAGACTACAAACTGACCAGGCCCATGAAATTGCCCGGCTCGTCAGACAATATATAACCATGCACCGACGTGAGTTTCTTTAATAATGCATAGGCAATTAATAATTCGTCTCCGACACTTGCACCTAGGTATACCTTATAGTTTCGTTCGACAATGACTTTTTGTGTTTCGTATCTTATGCCCAAATACCGATGTATGTATGTATGCGTTGATAATACCTTAGTCTGCCTGCGTGTTTTATTTATTTTTGAAATACCTAGGTAGGTACTTTCTTTATTTACTTCTACAAACGTTTGAGTTTTGCTTGACTATATTATGATGAGTATCGCACTTCGTGTAACGAGTAACGACATGATATGAAATATGTAATAAAACGATAACCATTGCCAGCAGGTACACTGTTTGACTTAAAAACTAAAAATAATTTCGCACCGATCGATGTGGTGGGCGAACCGTGTAAATAAACTAAAATATCGTAACATTTTTGCTTCAGATTTTTCCAACAATAATCGTATTTTTATTTTTTAACTTAAAATATTCTCGGTATTAATTTAATGCGTCCGTCCCACTCGAATAATCAATTGCTTCTTTATTTTTTGCTCCGATTGTTTTTTTGATTAACCTCTGGTATAACCTATATATTATTTACATAAAATCAATAACAATTTAATTAATATAAATAATATTAAATCATCGGTGGCAAGGAGAATGAGCGAAGAGGTATCCTGCGAGACACGGAAATACTAGTTTTAAATGAATTTTATCCACACGTGAAAACGGGTTATTTAAAATATGGTTTTCATAGAAATTGTTTTATGCATATAATAATATGAAGTACTAAAGCATAATCAAACGTCTTACCTGTTTTATTTTTAGACAATGTCGGTGGTCATTGAGACAACAGCAACACAAAGGATTTCAAAACATTTTTAAGGTTGTGCTCAAACAAAATATAGTGTGGAATTATTAAATGTTTTAATCCAGATTTGCATCATTCAACAAAATACTCTGTGTAAAATATCATTGTTGGTACTGAAAAAGAACAACGCACCTATTAATTACAACAGAAATTTGTATGGTGATTTTTAAAAATAAACAGGCCAAATCCAAAAGTTAAGACTAAATTATTATACTAATATAGATACAAAAATTATTACCTAGTTGTGTAATATTAAATAATCATAGAATTATTATTTAAATTTATTTATTTATTATTTTTTTATTTCATGAAATGAATCAGTTTATATTATATTACATAGAAGTTACATATAAGTACATATTTAATATAGTAGATTTTGTTTTAATTTTTACCATTTACAATAAATTTGAATAGTATATTATCATTTTTAAATTATACGTGTCATATTTTATAATACTAACCCAAAATGCTAAAACTATACCTACATAATATTATACTTAATATACTTTTCGGAAATTAATCAGTTATTCCTCACATTTGTGTACAGTTAAAAATTGATTATTTTACAGATGTCGATTAAAAAAAAAATAATATTTAAATACAACAGGTACCTTTCAAATGTTTAGTAACTAAACTAGAAATTAATATATTCTACGCCCAATGGCCAGTACGTCGTAAGTAGCGATCAATGTTATCAACACTGCTTTATACACCATCAAAAATGTTATAGTTTTTATACTTAAGGGGATTCGATACCGTGATTTTCTGTTTTTGTCTAACACACGCGTGACATAGTATTTTAGACGTGTTTTTTGCCAAACATTCCAATTGATCTATTGAAGCGATAAGATTTCTGAAAGCAGATTTGAATTTTTCGTCAAGTCTACTTGAAATCGACTTTCCCAAATTTTTGATTTTTTGATTTTAACTTCTCCAAAAATTGAAATAACAGAATTTTTAAATACTCTTTTTGAATATGACATTTTAAATTATTTGGGGGATAATATCAAAAATGTGGGAAAGTCGATTTAAAGTAGACTTGACGACAAATTCAAATCTGGTTTCAGAATTCTTATCGCTTCATTAGATCAATTGGTATGTTTGGCAAAAAACACATCTAAAATACTATGTCGCGCATGTGTTAGACAAAAACAGAAAATCACGGTATTGAATCCCCTTAAGGCCTTACCCTCATGCGTTGTCTCCGTCTTACGTAAAAGTATGACATAGAAAATTGTACGTTCTGAATAATTCATCTAACTCTTGTATGTTAAATTTTAGAGTGAATTGACCTATAATCAAATTTTGAAGTATAAGAATATTGTCTAGTCGATGACGTGAGGTTTTTCTTATATTTAAATTTTAAAGCAAGTTATGAGCATTTTAAAATAATTTACTATTTTAAATGCGCATAAATAGCTTTAAAATTGAAATATATAAAAAAAAATCTGTCATTGACTGATAATATTCTTATTTCTAAATTTGATAATAGGTCAATTTACTCTGAAATTAAACATATCAAACAAAGTTCAGTGATATATTCAGAACTTACAATTTTCTATATTATACTTTTGTAAGACGGAGACAAAGCAGAACGTCCTTTTAATCATAAACCGTGTTCGTTTGAGCAATTATTATAAGATTTTGATTCTCAAATTCTCGAATATGTTCACAGCCATTTGATTTCACCAGCTAACTAACCTATTATAAGTCCTTCGCATGTCTACATTTCCTGTATCTTTATCAACTAGTTGTTTTTTGTTCGCCCTTGGGCTATTCTAACTGTAACTCAACCTTTCCAAACTCGTCTCATTAAACACTAAACACATACGAAATTGATGGAAGATATTCAAATTTATTAAGGTCATGTATTTTTGCGGATGATTTAATAATAATTGTACAAAATACCCAACCATCATGTAAAACATACCAGTTGCTCATTAATTGATTGCGTATTATCGACTTTTTACTTATGAATATTGACTTTATTTTTATTGATCCTTGGACACGTAGATACATGTTATATTATAAAATATTTTATACTTTTGCAACTATTCGGAATAATGAGTTGGTACCTATTATTAAAGTCTGTAAATTTTATTTCGGATGATAATCAGCTTTGTTTATGTACCAATATCAACACGAATGCGTTGGTATAATACTTATTCAGTCAAATGTTTAAATGTATGTTTAATAAACTAATTCACACAGTATATAGGCTATAGAGTATTTCTAAAGATAAAAAAAATAATAATACATTATTGTATTTTTTTTTTTTTATAATATCAATATGTTATGTTTTTTTTTCAAGCTCCAAGTTATATTGTTTTCGTATAAATATTTAATTTCATACATTTTTTTTCTATTCTCAAATATAACTTATCATGTATTTCGGTATTTCGGTTGTTTTATGTAACTTATGCTGCTTTAAGAATATTTCGTTATTAGGTATAATTTGACGAACAGAAAATTGAAATGAAAAATTAATTCTAAAACATCACCACTCTAAAGCAGTTTGGAGTACAAGAATAATTGTTATAATAATTATTATTATAAACGTATTGCTATGATAATGTAGTAGATATCCATTTATATAATTTATCATTACAGTATCATTTTATTAATCGCATAGCTTAAAATCAATAAATTCAACCGGAACAAAAAAATTTATTAGCAAGACTTCTAGTAAATTAGGAAAGTTACTTTATCCACAAATAAACTAAAAGTTTTAAAACTTGATAAAATAGCTTAAAAATGATATTCGTATTACGAACTAAACTAAAATCCAATAATCGGATTCACTATTATTTACAAGACCGACAGTAATAATTTGTGGCTATACGAAGAAACATTTTTTCAACATAATATTTCAATGGATATAACTGATTTCCTAATTAGTTATACAAAATAATGGTAAAATAAATATTATTCTTCGAAATAATTGCTAAGTGCATATTATTATACTACAAACATTTATTTTAATGTTTAACAATTAAATGCATGTTACGTTTCTTTAGATAATTTTGATTGATATTATAATAAATACCTATACATTATTTTCCGTAACACTTTCAGTGAAAATTACTTATATATGACTACAAGTATACTATAGGCTACAAGTCACCTATAAAACTGAATTCGAAATATTTTTTCTATTCGAGTAAATGAGTTATGAATGACTATTGGTTTTAATGTGATTGTTTTTTTCCAAGTTGTGTAAATTATGCGTTTCTACTGTTTCGGATTACGGGAATGTTTCAAAGGTCCTTTAGTACAGTGCCATCAATAAATTTAAAATTTAACGCAGGTGGAGTGCTTTGAATAGATAATTATAGTTATTACCGCAAATTCAAATAATAATAAAAGTGAAATATATGGCACCACTCCCGTTTTGTAATGATATCCATTTTGTGTTTTTGTTTTAGTCACCAATAGAATATCACCATAGAAAACAATAATAACATTTACTATCTTACCCATGTAGTCATATTTCATCGATTATTTATTTTACTATTGACGTTTTATAATATTTTGAACGTTAACATAGTACATAATTGTAACCGGGATTCTAACTATTATTCAAAACAAAAATTCCGTATCTCGTGTATTACATTATAATAGTTTTTTTTTTTATATATATAATTTCTAAACGAATTTATTAACAATTGTATATTATAATTGAAAAATTGGTATTTTATTTTTCTATCAAGATTAATTCTAATTTCCATTTAACCTTTATACACAGTTGCACTTATACTATTTCAATTTCCGAAGACAAACAGTCTTCAGTCGTTCATTCAAAACACTCGTCATTCAATCATTTTTCCGACATACTTAAATATTTTCATTTGAACTTGTGGGGTAATATTTTTAGCGAGTATTTCATATAAAAATACTTACTTTTAAGATTATATTATTACTAGGTATACAACGTAAATTTATCTATACCTGTTCACTGTTCAGTATATTATAATATATTATTCAATATTGCCATTTGTCTTAAAACCTTTAATCATAAATTCCTTAGGTACAACATTTTATTCACTCCAGTAGCCATCTCTCATTTTTTATACTTTTACGTTATTTGTATATTATTTTATATTACATTATGCGTTTAAACCGCATTAAATCGAAGTGGTAACAACAATTTTGATCTCAACTTCGGAAGAATACGTACATTAGGCAAGTTATTACAATTGGCTATAGATTTTATTATGTATTTTTTTTTAATATGTTCATAAATTTAACATAAAATATAAATAAATAGCTAATAAGTTCTATATGTATAATATTATATTTGACAACAAAATTCACTTTTTCATTTTTAAATATTAATATTCATTAACAATCTTTATTACGACATTCCAGACCTCAATCACCTACCTACCGGTCGACCAGTATAATATTATGATATGCCATTTCGGTCGTTGAATCGTAAAAACATCGAAAAACGTATCCGAAGAATTTAGACAAATGCAAAGTTAGAAAGGAAAGTTTAAAATGAGTCGTTTTTGTTGTCGTAAACCCAGAATTACATGAATTTCCATAAAGATGAAGCAGTGAAGTGAAATGTAAGATAAAACGAATATTTAATTTCGCATTTTGCCGTATCCCTCTAAAACAAATGTTAACTTATTATAGGTACGCATAACATTATTACAGTGTACAGCATAGAAACAAAGTCCGGTTCAGACTATTTATTAAGGTTCTCAATAAAACTTCAACTCATGCGTGCACAACAACATAAGAAAGTTTCTTTAATCTACATAACGTTTTGTTTTCCACATATTTTTGGATATATTTTGACCGTATTAGCCGCCGTGCATGTTATACGTAATATTATATCATTTAGCTTTTTGTTGTGCAAACCTGTTGTGCAAATCATTATAACCCGACGAGCAGACTCACGATTTCAATGATAACAATGGGGATGCTGAAGCTCCCAATTTTTGCTTATTCATATGATCACGGGTTAGA